TAAAGAAGGGTACACGACCAAGAAGGGTAAACCAGATTCATTTGGTTTTCACTTGGTACACGACCAAGAAGGGTAAAGAAGAGAAAACGGAAGAACTGTACCAGTTGTAGAGCTGTTTTCCTCAGTCCAGATTCAGATCTCTGTTCCGCCCAGGTTCAGCAGGTCTATTCGATCTGTTCTCTCAGTAAAGGTTGTTCGATCTGCTCTCTTAGGTCAGTATTCCTGCTCTGATACCATCTTGATAGTATGGCCGGCCAGAAATAAGAGGAAGAGAAGAGAAGAGAAGAAGAAGAGAGAAGAGAGAGTAGAAGAGAAGGGATTTGCAATGTAACAGTGCTGGCGGCGCCAGCCTTTATTATAATATATATAGGGCGGCAGAAATAACAAGGGAAAAGACCCTTGTGCCCCTGACTACAATAACAAACATAACAGAAGTGAAAAAACGAAATAAAAAAAACACTTTAACTAGTCAAACAGACCCTAACACCAACAACTAAATTATTTTAACAGAATCCAAATATGGAAGAGTTCCTCTACTCCAATGTTAGACCTAATTATCTCATATTCAGGTCTAAGTCTCATAAGGAATTGATTCACCTTTCTCTTCTCAAAGTGTTGCTGGAGATACTCGACACATTCTACAGGGTCTGAAGGGTCTATATGGGCAAGCTCATATTTTGCCCACAAGTCAATGAAACCAGCATAATATTCGTGAATCTTCTTATCTCCCTAGCAATTAGCAAAAATCTCAGATTAAATCTTATACTGTCTAGACATGTTGGGTTGATGGTACACCTTCAAGTATGCATACATCGAAGTATACATTCTTTTCATGGGTACTGTAATATGAGAAACAATTGAGTTGACTATCCAAGAAATTATTTTCCCATTATCCAACTTTCATCTAGCTTAGTAACCTTCCCATTCAAATATCCCTCCAGGCCTTTTCCTTCAACATAGAAATCAAAATGGAACTTCCACATGTTGTAGTTAGTTCCATCAAATTTTACGGGAATGATATCATCCTTCTCAGATATTCTGAATCACAACCACAGTCCAAAACAGGTTAACAGAGCTCAAAAGAAAGCTAACAGAAGGAAGAACCGGAGATTAACTACCCAACATAAATTGGTAACAGTTCAAGAGCAATACTGAAGTAATACTTCACCAAATAAACTGAGATTATGCTGTAGAAATCTCAGAACAATAGGGTTATATTGATGTCAATCCCAAAATGGAAGGTTTCAGGACTGTCGACTACAAGATGGGATCAAAACCCTATCAAAACCGAACCAATCTTCAAAGTGGATTAATAACCAGTTAAAGGAGACCTGGGTGACACCAACTATAGGCTGATTGAATCAGCCAATTCAGAGAAAACAAGAAAAAACTGACCTGCTGGGCGTCTTTTCAAGAAAAAAAAAGAAAAAAAACTATCAACTTCGGCTGATTAAAACAGTGCTCCAATAACCTTCAACCAGAGTTCGATAGTATTAAAAATACTCCTCAAACAATCCTCTAATCATCCAAGTTAATCGAATCAGCAGCTGGTGGACACGACCCACTTTGATACCATGTCAATCTTCCAGTTTGTGGGAGCACCAAAGGTTTCAGGGGTGTCTAACAGAACGAATCAACCCCCAGCCCAAACGAGTCAAAATGTATATTAATTATGTATAATTACAAAGGAGTCCTTGAAGGGCTAAGGAAGAAAAAATAAAGAATTACAAAAGAGCCCTTAAAGGGTTCTTTTGTAGAGAATAGACCCAATTGGAGAGATTAAGGTTGGGATGGGACTAATTAATTATGATGGCCTCAATATGTGTGGGTGCCTTTTAAAGTTGTGGTACTGGGGGTGTAGAGAACCTTGGTTAATATCTACAGTAAAGCTAGATGGGACCGTTTATTTATTATGGTCTCAATATGTGCCGATGCAATTTAGAGGTTGTGGTAAATTGGGTTATTTGGCTGGTGCATTGAAGGAACCAAACACCACTGATTCAAACCATGCTAGATGGGTATAAGAATGTCATGGTTGTATGGCCTTAGAAGAGACATAGGACCAAGCTAATTGGATTTTTATTGACTATGTTTTTTGGAGATTGAACTTTGGTTTTGAATGGAGGAAATCTAAGTTGTTATATGAACACCTTCTTTCTCAGTTATTATAAAATGAAGCTCCCCAAGGACGATTTTTCTTCACTGTCCCCTGGCAGGACTACGCTGGGATGAATTCTTCTTGAAATCAGAAAACCATATTTTTCTTCAGTGTCCTCTGGCAGGACTACGCTGGGATGAATTTCTCCATTTGTTCAGAATACAATAGTGCATGCCCAACACCCTTAAAGAGCTTATTCAAGGTTGGCAAACAAATGGACTTAAAAGAGGAAGACTCTATGGTCTATGATTCCTTGTTGCATATGCTGGTAGCACTGAGGAGATTGTTAGGAAGGTTTGGGACACACTAAAAACATGGCTACATATCAATTAGAATTTCATGGAATCTTCTTTGCTCCTTTTGATTATACTACACTAGTCTTGTAATTGAAAGACCTCGTGTGTAGTTGAACAATGTTTGTCCCAGCGTACAGATCCTTAGTGTACATGTGCAATTGAAGAATTATTTCTATCAGATATTAATACAATACATATACTTTAGCTGTTCAAAAATAAATTAATAAATAAAAAACACAATGCAAAATATCTCCTTGCTACACCTAATCTATGAAGATAACTGGCTAACGAGTTAGCCAACCTGATTGGGTGCATTAACAATTGATTACAAATTTGCAGCATATTGATGTGCATATTATTCCATGCACACACAAAATTATTGTTCATCTTGCTATTGTTTTGGTTGTTCATTGAGTTTTATAAATGCATTTTTAATTTCTACATTCTTTTTTGGAGTACATTTTTTTCACTTTCCCAGAACTTAATGGGCTGATTTTAGTTACATTTTTCTTTGCCAATTCAGTTTTGTTTCTGTCCAATTAACTCATATACGACCTGAGCTTCCTTTCTTACCTCCTTATATGTCCTGGCTTTTACTGGGTAATTTGTTGATTTTAATTGTCATGTTTGATGGTTATGTATAATCTTCAGCCATCATGCTATATGCTGCTGTCGCTTTTCATTACTTTGTTTACATGTGTTCAAATTCAAGTCTAAGTTGCTTTCTTTACAGATTCCCCTGGTCAACCATGTCTTTCGGAATTCTCTCAAGCTTAAAGCCAGTGATGCAGAGATGGTCAGTTCAGACATTCATTTTCTTGCATTGTCCCCATGTTTTCATGTTTGTTAGAACTCTGTTTTTACTTAATCATTTATAAATTTATCCATGATATTGAATATAATTTCTCATTGCTAGGTTATAAGCTTACATAATGCATCAGAAAGATTTATATCCTTGATTCCTTTAATAGCATTAAATGAGGAAGGAAAAATTGAAGTTGATCTGGGAAGAGAAGAGATTGATGTACCAGTTGATTCAAGAAGACGGATATTGGCAGGTTTGGAGATATCAATACCTTTTGATCTTTATAAAAAAAGTTGTAACATGCAACAGGTTGTATTCTAATAAAATAGAACCAACCAATAAAATGATACAGTATATATAGAGGCATTCAAAAAATGATATAATGTGTACATGTGTGGCCTAATACGAAAAACCTTTGGCGTTGGGCGAGGCGACTTCTAAAAATTGCCTAGTCGCCTTGACAACTATGCTAGCTTCATAGAAAGTTGATTTCTTGGCTTAATGAAAGCATATTGGGGCTCTCTGGATTTTTCACCAAATATAGCTTCTAGACTTTCCATGTGGGACAAACATTACAAAGACAGAAGCCACTATGTGAAATGAAAGCCCTCCCAAACTGGCACTAATTGCAATTCTACTACCCATTAAGGGTGTACAAGTACCATCATTTATTGCCCATCAGGGCTACCCAATCCAGCTCTATTGCCCATTTGTTTTTTATGAGAATTCAATACTGCACATGTACCATCATTTATTGACATTTGTATGTTGATTTTGAGTTCCTTTTTCTAATAAATGACTAGTAAAAAATGAGTTGCTTCCTTGTTGAATTCTTTATCACAAGGAACTTGAGGTAAATCAATCATTTACTGCCTAAGTCTCCAGGCATAGAAACACTAGATACACATTAAACTGTCAAAACCTAGGTCTTTGACAGTTAATAGATTGCTTCCCTGTTTAGTGATCTTGTGTATAGATGCCTATGTTGTTTACAGAAGTTGGGGTTCTTCAATCATTTACTGTCAAAATTTCCACGCATGGGGACTATTGCCTTCTCAGGCATTGTAATCAACTAGTCCAAAAGCTGTATTTATTTATAAAAGGATTATGATATTTTACAAGGTATAAACCTTTCATACCAGATAACTTCTTTCATTTCCTTGCCCAGGATTGCTTCTAAGAGAGATTAAAGGTTTTTGGCGAGTGGCCTTACTGATGTCAACATTGTTATATCCCATAAATCCTAAACAAAATGAAGAACTCCTGGACAGACATTTTGAATTGGAAAAGAGTCGAGAATTGTTCAAGAGAGTTGAGAATAAGATTGTTGATCTAGGTATGATCACTGACACCTTTTCTTCTAGTTGACTTAAATTGATGGCTTTAGTTAAAAAATTTCCTATATTTAATTTTTTTCTGTTATCTGCACATTTATCAATAAATATGGCATGACATCAGTCTTTCCCTTCTGTTTGATATATTTTATTATTATTGCTCCCGTTCTTTATGGGCTCTTGCTACATATCAGTTGCACTATTAGTTTTGGGACTTGTGATGATTACTATTTGATCAATCTGGGCCCATTAGGAGTCGGAGGAGATTTCAGATGTTGGATGAGGGATAGATGCTTATTTAGGGCCCATTTTAAGGCAATTAGATGAGTGCAACAGATATAATGGCATTGTCACAGATGCTGAGAGTATGATATACCTTGGGACTGAATAAGCTTAAGATTGTGGCGATGCTTAGGTGGTCATAAGTGGGATGATCGCACCAATGCATGACCCTTGGTCTCTATTTCATCTATGGAGGTAAGATGTTTATAATCTAAATAAAAAAATTTCAATAAAAATGTTAAGAATCTAATTTCTAGTGAATTTGCAATCAACCTCACAAAGCTTTGTGTGTTCATGGAACACAAGAATAGAGGCTATCTTGATTGTCTTTACATTATCAGCATGGATGGGAATAATGGGAATAGGATTGGGAGACCAGAATATGTAGATCATGATATCAATATCTGCATTCTTCTTTATCCTCTTCTGCTATCAGTCATCAGTCTTTATCCTTGATCTTCTTGCAATGTTGCAGGCTGAATCGAATCAAATACGAATTCGGATATCTGATAATACAAGTGAGTCGAATTTGAATAGGGGTCACTGAATATCTGTCGGATTCGAATAGAATTCAAATCATATATTTTTCTTATCAGATTGAATTTGGATATACCCCTATCCAAATTCGATTTAGTACGTTTGCAGCCCTAATACACCTCAAATACTAGCATACTAAAGTGAGGCATAAGGTAACCCCAAAAAATGTCCTCATCTAAGTGTCACCTTGATAACACATACACAGATGCATGTGCATATATAACTGAAAGAACTTGAAGTATGTATTAACATAGGAAGTGTATCTTTGAAGGAGTAGCTTGGAACCATGTCGTGGACTCTAGTTTAAGCTTGACATAGTTGAATGATTCTGTCATATTTGACTTTGATGTTCTGGATCCATGACTGAGGTGTGTTGGATTACATTTTGCATCTTAATTGATCCAAACTCCGTAAGTGTCAATGAGAACTCTCCTGAGATGCTTGGAAGAGCTTGCAATGAAGCTTCCTTCATGATACTAGATGAGTCCACTGCCAGCCAATCCTGTAAAGCAGCAACTTCATCAGTGTTTACCCCTTTTGATGGGTCCTATCATTGCTATTTCTGTTTCTGACCATCTCACTGTGATACTCGTTCAGTATTCATAAACTCATTCTTAGTTCAGCTGCAGTATATAGAATTGTAGTTACAAAATTGTTAATTTTGTTGGCACCCATTGAGAGAAGAGGCTAGGGGGTCTTGCTTGATGTAGTGGTAAATTCTCAAGCTGATGAGTTCAAGGACATGGGTGACTAGCAGTGGGCAGTTTGTTCAAGAAAATTATGAAAGACCCGTATTCATTCCTCCCCTCTGAAGAACCTGGATATTTGTACCATCATTGAAGTTTTAGCCATTGAGTGATGGGAAGTTTTCTAAGGCTAGATAATAGACTGAAGTTGATCAATTGGTTCTCCAACAGTCAATAACTGTTAATGTATACCAATTCTTTCGGTATCCTAAAAAGATGTAATCTTTAGATTTTTTTTTTTAATCTAATGCAGGTCTTGAAAATGTATGGGAACTGAAACCATTGGTCAATGGAAAGGACATCATGAACGTTTTGCAGCTCAAGACTGGAGGGCCTCAAGTCAAGGAATGGGTAGGTAACCCTTTATGCCTGCACTTTGGAGCTAATTACATAATAAATGACCGATTTTTCTTTTGCAGCAACAAAGATTGCTTGAATGGCAGCTTGCCCATCCATATGGCACTGCAGAGGAATGTCTTGATTGGATGAGGCAAACACATTCAAAACGTGCCAAGCTGGAGCAATAAATGCGATTGTTCATTAGCATACTGTTTGAACCAGCTGGTTCAGTAAGGTAGATATGGTGCATATTTCAAGCTTTTACGTCCCAGCAGGAGCAAGTGTTTGATTCTTTTTTCCTTTTTCTTTAGAAAATGGGGGGATGAGGCAACGTCGGGAAGTGTATAGGTCAGTTAATTTATTTACAATTTATCGAATGTGTTAGTAAAATCTTAACGTATAACTTAGTCTATTGTAGAAGAGGCTGAACCCAGATTAGAGAAATGATTCCATTCTCCACATCGAATAACTGGCTTCTGTTGGCACCTGCAATGGAATCCTATATGGGTGGACAAAGAGAGGAGAGAAATCCCCCTTGAACTAAAACCGTTGGACTGGGGCTTTTCGATTTTAATCTCTGGTTTGATAGGATGATGTATGGACACTTTGTAGTCAAAACTTTAACCCCATAAACAGGAATAGAAGATTCCAATGTAAAGGTGTCTGTAGAAAGCCTAGAGTCCAAGATGTTTTTCCTCATGTATTCTCCCTCATCAGCAAGTTCCAAGTCCAACCAGAAAAACTACAATGTTAACTTGCGAAGGACAGCTTCAGGTGATTTGAGAAAAGGTGAGAAACTCTTCCAGGCAGCAACTTGCACTATCCCTGTCCACCTTAATCCAGGATTACATCTTGTGGGACAATGGAATTATGACCAACGCATGGTAAAATAGTGTTATAGTAAATTTTGTGGACATGGTAATCAACCCAGTATGCCATTTGGCCATTAAGGCTGTAATTTGGTTTGAAAGAAAAGGAAGAGAAATTAAGTCAATTAAGGAAGAGGTTTCCTTTCCTTTTCTTTCAAACCAAACACAGCCTAAGGCTGCTCATAGGTTACACAAATACCATCTATATCTCTATTATAACTTTTAATACTAATCAATTAACATGGCTTTCCCTGCATTACATGTTCACCTAGCAATGCAAAGAAATGGTGCTGTTTCCTTGTCATTCTACATCGACTATCCTATTTAAAGTAAAATCTGAATATCTAAAGTCTTTTCAAGATAATATTTACTCATAATAATTTCTACATCCTATGTATCAAGAAATCATACATGGTTAACCCACAAAGCGGGTAAGAGTGTAAAGGATTCCATATGATATAAACGTAGGGGAGCAAATGGATCGAGATTCGATCCTATTTGGTCAAATTCCTATCACCCCTATCCGATCTAATATATTATTTATATTGTAATTTTTTAAATTTGTTATAGTATTTATTTTTTTATAAAAATATGTATATATATATATGATGAAAATAATTAAAAAATATTTATATTTTTTGTTTTTCTTTATTTAAATTGGTATATTTTATTTTTTTAATAATTTATTAATTTTTAAAGAAATAAATTGGATAGGATCAGATCAGATCCGAAGATTTGAATTCAGATCATTGCCTATCAGATCCAATCAGATCTTTGGATCAGATTGGATCCATCATGAACAATGTCGGATCGGATTCAGATATACTCTGATTTGAATCCGATCTGATCTGTTTGCATCCCTATATATATGTCCATTAACAGATGTGACTAGAGCAGGGCCAGAGTCTGGATCTGCTGATCACAAAACGTTGTCCACTAGCCCTATAGCCCCACATGGGAAATCTCTCATACTCTATGCTGCTATTCTTAAGGAGATACTCCTGATGTGTGGCTGTAGGGTCTTGTAATCAGCATGTGGCCAGTGTTTTGTGGTCAGTGGATCCAAACTCGTAGGCCCCTATATCATTATATTTACCGTAAATGTTTTGAAACAGTAGTTCAAGAGACAAGGCAAACCATGAAGAAAAGAAATGAGTTTTATAGATATTGGACTCTTGGACTCTGCAAATGAGGATTGTTGTGTTGTATAGGGCTAGGATATGCTACAAACAAGGTGTGTACAATGGGCTAGATAACCAATCAAAAGTAAACATGCCAATAATTGTTATGTATGAATTACTGGATAAATCCCATGTGTATGGATCTGATCACTCTTGATTGTTTATGTTGCGTGTTGCACATGACTGGAAAAGTAAATTATTTGTGGCATATCTGCAAATGCTGGAACTCCCGTTAATGCCCCAAACTCCTGTAAGCTAAATTTAATCGGCTGACCAAAAAGTGTTGCCCGGTTGTCCCCAAATGGTTGTCCTACTCCTTCACAAGAAAACTAGTATATTTAAACCAATGTTTTTGAACCGCCATTGACCTTGATGGTTAAACCATTTGACCCAGGAACTGTCTATGCAACTGGTTCCATTTTACTTCAAACCTGGGCAGTTGAACTGTTGACCGAGATGGTAGTCTATTCGGCCTGGGAATTGTCCAAGCAACCGGTTCTGTTTTGCCACAACCCCAGTCCCTGGGCAAAAACTGTTGAATTAGTCAACCCATTGACCTGGGTGGTTGAACTGTAAACCTGTTAAGCCCATTCAATGGTTTTTGGCCTTTTATTTTATTTTTTTTATTTTTTCCTCAGAACGGGGCCATCTGTTTAAACCAGATGGTTGAACCATCAACCCAGAAATTGATGGCCAGAATGGTTCAGTTCCAGGTCAATTTTTAAAACATTGATTTAAACTAAATTGTCATGACAAAATAATCATTTATTCAATTTAAATGTGCAATTAACTATGTGAATCAGTATATTTAAAGCTTGAGGACTTGATCAGTGTAGACTTGAGAGCTGATGATATTATGGCAAGCTTTTTGGGTCCCAGTTATTTAATACTTTTCACGGGCTGAACGATCCAACTGCCAGTGTAATTCATGACCCGATCAAGGTTTAAAGATAAGAATTTGCTGATAGTGGATAATGTATATAGGAGAATTTGCTGATATTTCAGTGGATAATGTATATAGGAGAATTGATATTTAAATGCAAAGTCAACCTCATTCAAAAGAAATTTGCTCTTTCAGAAATCTGTAAAATTCATGGATTGGAGTATTTAAAGATGCTAATAGGAACACCATTTGCGTTTGTTTGGGGACTGCAATTAGAGCAGAAAGTCTAACCTTGTAATCACAGTTGAAAATGTTGAAGCCAATGCTACAAGATATTATGCTCCACAAGTCCCAATCTAAAACTTCACCACCCCTTGCCCAAGTTAAATTGCACAACCAACCGGATTTTTGCTTAGCATCTAGGCCAATGCCAGGTTACGCTGTTCACTAACTTCAATGATTCATATTCACACAATTAAACCAAAAAAGACTACAGAACACTTTTATCCTGTAGATGTCGAAATCTGTATCATGAGTCTGATATTGTACCAACATATACAAAAGACTAACATAGCACAACTGAAGGTTGGTATGAAATCGCACCATCATTTCACAGGAAGTCGGGAAAAAAGAAGAATCAATGTAAGAACAATAGGCATGAACAAAATAGCTTAAGATCAGTAAGAATTCGAGAGCAGTCACTTGGGACTAGAATACCCGCAGAATACCAGAAAACCTGATCTTATGTTACAGTGTACATATGGTGTAGCCCTATTGCTGCATCAGAAAGCCACCAATCAGCAATCACCCAATGAACAAGAAAGTTTACCGCAAAGTCATCAACCAGTCAAATCAGAGCACACACATGACGTTTCGCCCCAAAGGTTTCTGGTAGAAGTTGAAGGGATCTGGGTAGCATCCGCAACTCGTCAATCTGCTTAAAACATTAGCAATGACTCTTCATAAAGTATTTGCCATATCCACCCACTACTCTTCATGATGCCATGGATTCAACAACCCGGAAGAGATTGAGCAGATGCAAAAGGAGAAAAGCTTGCTGCTGACTCACTACAACGCCGCAGATACTGTTGGTGGCTGGATGACCCAATATAACTTGGTGAGGCATTGCTTGAACTTGGAATATAGGGTGATATGTATCTCGAGTTAAGAGGTGATAAAGAAGGGTAGCCCAAGGAGTGTGGTGAAACTAGGTGGGAGGCATGAGATCTTTGAGAAGACGCATTCCTGAGGTCTCTTGAGCTGCTTAAATAGAGGGCAGGAGAGGGAGAGTTGCTATAAGATCTAAAAGACTGTTGTACATAGGGAGTGGTGGAGAGGGTATGAGTACGAGAGACAGATGGTGATCGTGATGATGGTGGAGCTATTCGTATGGCTGAAGATGTTGTGAACGACGATCTGGAAGATGGCGGTCGTGATGATGATGGAGCTATTCTTATGGCTGATGATGCTGCGAATGACGATCTGGCAGATGACAATCCAGAAGAGGATGCAACAGAACCTGACCTTGATGGAAGCAATGGAGTGCACTCAGAAGCTGGAGGATCACCAGAGCTTGTCCTAGCATCTCTCTTGCAAACTGGGCAAAACGTTCTCCATGTGGTAAGCCAAGCATCAACACAGAAGGCATGGAACTCTGTTGAAATACCAAGAATGTATAGTTTATTAGACATACGAGTAATATTAAATATAAAGCAAAAAAACTTGGTTTTTTCCAGAAACTGTAGTGGATATAAGTGAACCCTGAACTGAAATCCCAAATGTTGTCAGTTTGGCATGAAGCATGGGGTAGCGTAGCAATTCACAAATAGAAATGTCACTTGGATAGTCACTGTGTTATCTTATTATAACTCCAAACCTAGACAAATAACAGCAACTTCTAGAATATCTCCTACCCTATCCAAAATAATTCCTTGTATTTTAACCTCCTGAAGTCTTGTATCTTCAAATACGAGGCAAAAACAAAACCATGATAAATCAGTTTGGGTACCTAGACTGCCAGAGGTAATACAGACAAGGATGCCAAGCAGGATCATATTAACCGAGATATTAAACACCACACAACATTCAACTAGTGGTGAATAGTCAACACTCAACACTTGTTCCTTTATCTTCTACTGTGAAATTCGAAGTTTAAAACATCAAGGATTTGGTGAATAAAGGGGAATAGTCATACATATTGATACATAAGTAACATTAAATCAATGTAACATTTCACCCAAGGCCCCCCATTATCAACAGGTGCCCCGATAGAAACAATCCAAACATAATGGATCAGTGGAAACGTGCACAGAATAGAACAGTTTATTTAAAAATGCTAACAGGAGATAACATTCTTCTTTATCTAACATAAAAATATAGTCTGGACTACAGAAGAGAAAAACAAAAAAAGTCTAGAAACAAACAAAATGATTATTAATTGACTATAGATGCTCCTTAGCTATATTGCAGGAACTTGGGAGAACTGGAATACCAAGATACTTTTATACAAATTTCATCCATCAGAATCCCCAAACATGATGTACTGATGGCCCATTGATACATATGTAATATTTGCCCATTAATCTCTATATGTAATTGGGGAACTGTGGTCTCTCTGGTATTGATGACGTTCTTGGCGCATAGTCCCAAGTTTGAAATCTCCTCAACATTAGTAGGATGGTAATTGGAAGCGAACAAGATTCCTTAAAAGGAATCGTACCCCTTGTATTGAATCACTACACATTATCTCATACCCCAGGTCAGCAAGCATGTTCAACCAAAAAAAGGTCAACAAACGTGTTGGTGCATTCACTGCACAAAGACTTAAGACAGTGCAATGATCTGTGTTGGAGGTACAGATGCTCATCTACTCCAGCTTTGGTAACTCTTTTTTCCAATAGGATAACATTTAGAGCAGTAGGCTTCCCTTGTATTTAGGACTGTGGATGGTCAGATAGACCATTACAATCAAACCAAAGAGACTGTATTGTTAGAGTAGTCATCAACAAATAATAAGAAATATTTGTACCCCCCCATGGTGGGAGTATGGTAGGGCCCCCAAATATCGGTATGCACAATCTCAAAAGGAAGGCTGCTTCTTTTATTACTTAAAGGATAAGATGATCTACTATGTTTTGCAAGTTCACAACTTTCACATTTTAACCCAGACACTTCTACTGACTCGAACAAGTTTGGAAAAAGACTCTTTAAAGACCTAAAAGATAAATGACCCAAGTGATTGTGCCAAAGCATAATCTTACTACAAGACTCAGAAACAAACAATTTCCTTGCTTCACTCTACTCTCCCTGTGAATGTTCCAACAGGTAGACTCCATTCATCTCATGGCCAATCCCAATCACCTTCTTCGTTTCTAGATCCTGAAAAATACATTGTATGAGCAAGGGCTGAAGTAAGTTGTTGAGCTGATGTAGGCTGAGCTGAATTACTAAATTCATTTTCTAGCTGAGTCAGAGCAGCTCGGACTGCAGCTAGGGTATCTAGAGGAGTGCCTCTTGTGCCTGATGAAGTTGTACTATCAGTGTTGACAGCCATATTAGCATTCCCTTTCTTATTTCTGAGCTTTGCTGGAACTAGATGAGGGTGCAACTTCCAACAGGTGTCCTTAGTATGCTTAGGTTTCTTGCAGTGTTTATATACTAAGTGCTTCTTAGCTTCCTTCTTCTCCTTATCCCCCCCCCCAAGATTTAGGCCTTACTGCTATCAAGGCTGATTCGGAGGGCTGTTGCTACAACATAACCTTTCTCCTAGTTTCTTCACTATGCACTAGGGAATAGACTTGTGATAAAGTCACACTATCTCTTGTCAACAACTGTTGTCTCACAATGTCATATTCAGAGTTCAAACCAGTTAGGAACTCAAAAACTCTATTAGTTTCAACCTGCTTCCTATATGTTTGTGCATCTTTTTGACTCTCCCACTCAGTTGTTTCAAGATGGTCAATTTCATGTCACAAGGATTTTAAGGTTAAAAAGTAAACAAAGACCTGCTTCTCTCCTTGCCTCAGATTTTTAACCTTACATTTTAGCTCATAAGCCCTAACAACATTAAGAGGCTGAGAGTAAATTTCCTTCATAACATCCCATATTTCCTTAGTTGTTTTGGCCCACAAGTAGTTTCGGCTAATGTGTGGCTACATAGAGTTGCATAGCCATGTCATCACCAAAAACTTTTCTTGGACCCAACTAGCATAAGTAGGGTCCTCCTTGGAGGGTTCCTTCACATCCCCTAGCAAGAAGTTTGATCCATCAAACTTAACAATTGTAATCTGAAAGGTGTTTTCAGTCATGTTACCTGAACAACCAGTCCCAAAAGCACCTTCCCCTTGGTTCTTGTACTCCATTCTAAGTTAAGAAGAGGCTTTAAACTACTGTGAAAAGAAAAAACTATATTTTAAGGTTGATAACAGCCAACCTAGGACAATGATTTTGCATTAGATAACAGTCAACTATTATCCTGGGATTGATATCAGTCCTGAGATTTTCTATCCGTACCTCTCTTAATGAATAACAAAGTCCTTTTGAATATCAATCTCAAGAAAATGTACTTATTTTATGAAGACAAAAGCCCAGAAAACTGATTGCTACCTTCAGTCTTCAAACTTGATCAATTGATTACTGTCAGCACCTTGAATCTTGATCAAAGAACCAAGAAAAAAAAACTGATTGGCACCTCCAATCTTGATCAAGAATCGATCTTGATCACTCAATTCCTGCCTAATTCTTCCTGATTACAAGAAACTCTCTCCAATCTTAGGACAGCTGCTAAAGCCTTCTTGCAACCTCCAAGAATCAGCCAAAATAAGGATCTTTCTGAACTTTCATCCCTAAACAATTCTCATGTGGTTGGCTAAATTAAATCCACATGAGAAACCCTAGATCTAAGGCTTTGATACCAACTTGAAAGAAGAAGAAGAATTGTTTACKGTATTACAGGTTTGAAGAGAAGAAAAGAGAAAAAGAGAGAGAGAGAGAGAGTTAAGAGTTGATCAATTGATTACTGTCAGCACCTTGAATCTTGATCAAAGAAACGAGAAAAAAAAAAAAAAACTGATTGGCACCTCCAATCTTGATCAAGAATCGATCTTGATCACTCAATTCCTGCCTAATTCTTCCTGATTACAAGAAACTCTCTC